AGCTGATAAAACCAATAGCGTCTCAGGAAGATGTTTTTACCCCCACATGGCCTCTAGCTTCATAAATGCCGTTTGGAGATCAGTGGCCTCTTGCAACTTAAGAGCTTCGAAGAAACGTTGTCTCAGCTCTTCGATATGGGTCCGAAGGAGTTTCAAATTGGATGTAACGTCTAGTGTAATCGCGAACGATAAGATAGCAATCTGTTCAATGTCGTCCTCAAATGTCTTCCTCTATCATTTGAGGGTTTTGGACGCCGTTCCGCCAGAATGATAACAGTGTAAGTAATGATGAAGCCATGTTCGTTAAACAGAATCGCTGATTTTATGTGTTCAATACAGAAGCCAGTTTTAGGCAGTTTATTATATATGCAACATAGAAGGCTATATTTAGCATGACGTGTACTGAGGATGGGAAACAGCTCAAGTGGCGAGTTATTTTGACTAAGGGGGTTTTGTGATGTTGCTTAAACGTAAGAGGCTGAAGGATAGCTAGTCAGAACAAAGAGAGGGGTAAATGCGTGTCCGTAACTGTAGTAAGCGCTTGACGCGTGCATTGTGGCCTAATGCTCCGACTCTACGGGCGGCCTACACTGCAGTCATTTCTTCACCTCCGCGGCAAATTTGTTTTGCTAGTGCTTTTGGGTGCTTAAAATAAGCAGCTATTTTATTAGTTTAAAGACAGTTCTGTGTGCCCGCGACCAAAAAGAATTGGTCAGATGAACAATCTCTAGCGCTTCTTAGCATGCATTCATTCATGCTTCATGATTCCTGAAGCCGGGTGTGAATTGCAGCGCAGACGAATCGGTGCTCGTCACTGGCGGCCAACTGCCATATGAGATGATTATTCCAAGTCTTGGCATAGTTTACGCAAATTTATGTTTTAACTGTCCCGAATTCTGCCCCGAATTCCATTGAAAAACTCTTATTTCGATAGAGACATAGTCGATTACAATTACCTGCTTAATAGATGTGACCCAGTACGAAAGTCACTGAAATCATCATGCGAGACACTGTTTCGAGTACTCTCGTGCAATACTACGACCCACCGATCCTTTGAAGTGGCAAAGAGGATTTTGTCAGAATTGATCAAGTCAACGCTTTTGTTCCAGAAAAACCACCAGACCTGTCGCAAAGATACGTGTATGCTGACACTTGTCCTTACATGTTTCCTTCTTTACTCTGTCCTACTCCTACCTCAACTACTTCCACCGTCCCTGATCGGAGCTGCTCCAGTGCAAATGAGGTTCGAACCACCCATAACGGTCGTCGGATCCACTTTCTGAACTTTTAGTGCTCGTGGTTTTTAGACCAAAACGATTGATCCGTCATCGCTACAAACCAGTTTCGATCTGGCTAGGGGTATTGTGTTAATCCATTCTGGTGATTGCCAGCAAGGCTATTAACCCATTCCGTTTTCAGCCCACATAACGCTCCCTTTCAATGGCTTGCTCAAGTCTCGCGCGACCAGCATGGCGAGAGCTCGAGTTCAATCTAAACGTCGTATTTCGGTGATTGACTCTATGTGGAAATGGCCCGGGTGCAAGCACGCTTTTAGCCTTTGCGAGAAGATGCTAAATGGCTGTCACTTTCCAGATGAGACGGTTTGCTGCCGAAACGTACCTGCCCACATAGCTGCGTGTAAACTCTCCGCCTCTGTAAATGTCGTCTAAACACCGTCTGCCTTGACTTCTGATTTGGGGACGCTCAAACTATTCACTATCAAACTTTGACTGAAGTTCAGTTGGAAGTAACAAGGTCTGACGTTGGTTAATTGCGCGAATGCAGTCCTATTTTCACGTGTTGGAAAGCTATATAGTTAAAAGGGTGTCACTTAATGTCATCTAATTTATTTGCTAGCAAAGACTGAGGCAGGAGGATGCAGAAGGAGCTATAACAAGTGCCGAGTTTTTTAGGTTGTATGGACGGCTGATGGGAGTAATGACAGAAAGTTTGGGAAGATTTGTGCTATTATTAAGGCAAAAAAAGAAACAAAAGCCTGCTTCCAATCTCTTGACCCAAAAAATCTTAGTTTCGTTAATTGACACCTATTTGAGTAAGAAGTATTGGAAAATGTCGGATAAAGCAATTTTCTTGTGAAATGTCTCTGGACACTTTCAATTTTTGAACGGCCAACTTCGTTCATCAGACCGAAGAATGAGCAACAGTGTTCTAAGATGGGAAGCACAAACATACGATAAAGTCTTGATTTCATTCCAGGAAGATATAAATTATAAGAAATAAAGCCGCAAATATGTGCAGCTTTGGCGTGAGGCGAAAGATTTAATTTATTAGTGTGGCTAAAACCTATGTCCTTGATGTTGGAACATTCGGTCATCGGGCAACCTTGAAAAATAACATGTTGTGGCCGCCTTTCAGGCTATGGGATTTTCAAGAGCGTCTTGGAGAATGGGATGCTGTGTTTTTCTGTGGACTGTTAGTATGCGTGGAAAAAATGCGGCATTTAACGAGTGGTTTTCGGCAAAATGTACTCAATCGGCTGGCTATTTTTCTGCCAACATCATCTTAGCCTGTTCACGAAATACGCCAGATCAAGACCGGAACGGCGGTTACATTGACGAACTTCGTATTTTGGCCATGAATTAGTAATTCACTGGAAGGCCCGGTGGAGCCGCAATCTCGTGTGTGCCATCGCATATGTCGCTGCGTCCTCAATTTCTGAATTAATATTAGCATGATTTTTGTTTCAACATCCATGACACGCCTTATTTTGACGGCACCGAACATGTGCTTTACAAATAAACCTTATTATTATTATTATTATTATTATGAATTGCTTGTTTTCCATGAATCTTTCCGTGTGTGGTCTAGTTATTCAAAGTTTCCATCTAATGTGTCCTATGTGATGACTGGTTTGCCTAGTCTTCTACCACCTTTTTATTTGTTACTAGCTTGCTTTTTCTGTAAGCCGTCAACACTTGCTCTTCTTAGTCACGGCTACAAGCCTTCTTAAGTTTATTTTCCCGTTATACGCTCCTGAGCTGAGCTTTTTGTCGGGAATTTCGAGGACCGTCTCCAAATTTCTCGCTGCACTTGTGGTTTGCCTGTCACGATCTCTCACTGGAAATGTCGACCTTTTCCGCCTGTGTATCGTGCCCTTCAGGAAACACGATGTCCATTCTAACCCATCACTCAGTCGGGGTGATAGTGATGTGCACGTTGTAAACCACCCCTGTTTCTCTCGATGGTAACCCTCATCACGACTCCATACTGGCCGCTGAGATGTCGAATGCCCCCCTCTATTGTCGTTCTCTCCTGGGCCTGCCACCACCTAGCATCGTCGGATGCACAACAATGACATTTCGTTCACCATTACTGATCGGTCTTTATAGTTTCATCTTACCGCCAGAGGCATTTTATTCTTCGCGAATTAGTTGTAAAAGTGGGGTTCCCTGAACTTTCGCCTTTTTTAAAGTTTCGGTGCTTTCTTGCTTCTTGATCTGAGTTCACTATTTTTCCACAAACTTCTTATTTGAATTTTTTGGATCTTCATTCAAAACTTATCGTAAGCGCAAAGATAGATCGTCGAGGAACTAAAAAAACCTTTTATTTTCTAGAGTGCAATTGGTAAATTCTACTGTAAATCTAACCGCTCACACAGAGAATTACTGTCTATATCATTAATCTGCGATAACTTTGTTTGGGTAATGCACTTTAAGCACCCAAAATAAAGCTTTATTACTTTAAAAAAGTTATTGAATGTCTTGCTAGTCTCCAGCTCCACCCTTTCTGCTGGACAATGGTGAATAACAGTTGGCCTTCTTACAAGGGCCACACAGCCTGTCCTCATTCCTGGTGGTAGCCTTCAGCTCCATCTTCCATCGACTGTCTTGCTTTGTATAATTGTCTATATAACCTTTTTATGACTATTCTTCATGTATTCGTAACAAACAGCAGTGTACTGACATTTCCATTCGCTTACCTCGCCGTTTGATGTCTACTATGACTAACGAGGCTTCTATTAAATTGACAGTGTATGGGTACAACCAGAAGACAGTAGATGCAGACGAAAAATTTAATACCGGCCCTAATCAGAAGGAAGCCAAGCTATGTAAGAATCTCAATGCGCTCGGGCACTACATTAGTAAGGTGTCGACCAGCTTAAAATGGATTCATATCCTCTGAGTCATAGGCTGTTGCGCCGAAAATTGTTGCAAACTTCCTGTATCATATGTGATTTGAACTGTGCCCTCCCGTGTGCTGGTTTCTTTAACTCACCAACATAAATAACCTCTGGATTATCCCTTCAATAGACGTGTACCCCAGGGAACATTAGATGAGGGAACGTATTTTTTCCTCAAAAATGTCG